TTTTTTTTTTTTTTTTTTTTTTTTTAAGAATTATTTATTTCCATATGCTATTATCATTATTATTATTTTTATTTTACCAAAGAGAGAGAGAGACAGAGAGAGAAAGGGAAAGCAAGAAAGCAAGTCGCCAGGTCCAGGACTTGAACTGTGGTTGGCCATGTGGAAATCCAGCGCCTTTAGCTACCACACCACCTGCTACCCCCACCCCCATCTCCAACCCCATACTCTGTGCCTGAGTTTTTCTTTTTTCTTTTTTTTTCCTTTTCTTTTTTTGGAGAGGGTTTTGCTATAGGGCACGTGCGCTCGCCAGACAGACAGCCGCAGTCCCTTCTCCTCCATTCTCCTCTCGGGATCTTGGGCACACACGCACATGCACCCGGTGTGAGTTTAAGCCACCGGGTCCGGGACGCGAACCACAGTCGACTACGTGGGAGTCCAGCGACATAGCCATTATGCTAACTGCTGGTCCCTAGAGTATGTGCTCTTGCTGAAAGAGAGACAGAGAGAGAGAAGGTGAGAAAATCCCCCCCACCCCCGGAAGGCGATCAAGCTGCAATCCCTTCTTTGCCCTCTCTCCCTCCTTTCAGGATTTTGGGCACATACATCCCAAATGCTTATGTTTTCTCAGGCTTCCAGACCCAGGACTCGAACCCTTCTGTTGGCCATATGCGATCCAGCCACTTTAACCACTACACCATGGGCTCCCCCGATACCTGTTCATATCCCCCCCACCCCCGGAAGGCGATCAAGCTGCAATCCCTTCTTTGCCCTCTCTCCCTCCTTTCAGGATTTTGGGCACATACATCCCAAATGCTTATGTTTTCTCAGGCTTCCAGACCCAGGACTCGAACCCTTCTGTTGGCCATATGCGATCCAGCCACTTTAACCACTACACCATGGGCTCCCCCGATACCTGTTCATTGCACGGGTCCTGAACCCATGTGGACATAATTTGAGAACTGAACCATCCAGGAACTCCAGCCTCAGGAAGCCTAGGAGGGACGCTAGCAGGTGGCGTGGTGGTTAAGGACGCTGGACTCCCACATGGCCGACTGTGGTTCGAGGTCCGGACCTGGCAGCTTGCTTTCTCACGTTCCCTCTCTGGTCAAATTTAAAAAAAGTAAGTAAATAAATAAATAAAGTTAAATAAAATAATTCTTTAAAAAAAAAAAAAGAAAAGAAAAACAAGAGAGAAACAGCAGCCTAGGAGGAAAATTAAGGCACAGAATCGATTTCTCCAGTTGCTCCTTACTTCACAAAGCAACTGCACACGCCAAGGATCTGGCTACGCTCGCAGGCCCGAAGCCACGGATCGCTCGAACGCTCTGGGGAAACAGAGAAAATACCGTCTGTTCTGTGCAGACTAAATTTTCCTTATTACCAACACAGTGATTTAAAAAAAAAAAAAAAAAAACTGGGAAAAGTGCCGGCAGGTCCAAGGCTTCTGGAAGCTTCTCAGGGTTTGCCCCCCAGGTCCAGAACATAGGGCCATGTGGTTAGTTATCAGGGCCAGCTGGGCAAGGTACCCAGACAGACTTTGCAATGGTGTGGGCAAAAAGCAACAGCATGTCACAGAGAGGAGAGTTGAATCTCTTCCCTGGGCCCCTGGGAGAGGCTGAAACAGGAGTGACCTTGAGCAGCCCTGACCTGAAGCTGTCTCAGCCGAATGCAGATGGAAAGAACCACTCTCTTAGCGTGGACCTCAGTTTTCTCTCCTGCAGGATGGGCTGACGCTCGTAACATTAGGGTTGGAGAAGGAGCAGAAAAGATCCAGGAAATATCATTAGATTCTTTGTCCCCTGGGTAAGGACAGTTAACTGTCCCCACCTCAGCCTGGGCAGCTTCTACCTGGGTCTAGAGGTCTCTTTTGCAAGAAATGATCGTCCCTTCTCCTCTCGGAATTCTGAGCACACACATACATGTGTGTTTGGTTTGTTTGTTTTTTGGAGAGGTTTTTGCTATAGGGTGCGTGCGCTTGCCAGACAGACAGAGAGAGACAGAGAGACAGAAAGCGAGAAATCACCCCCCCAGGAGGGATGGCCACGCCGCAATCCCTTCTCCTCCATTCTCCTCTCGGGATCTTGGGCACGCACGCACACGCGCCCAGCATGAGTTTTAAGCCACCAAGTCCGGGACGCGAACCACGATCGACTACGTGGGAGTCTAGCGACATAGCCATTACGCTAACTGCCAGTTCCCGGTTTGGTTTAGTTTTTCTAGCGGCTGGGTCTTCAACGCAAACCACGCTTGGCCATGAGACAGTCCAGCACCTTAACCACCACGCCACCTGCTGGCGCCTGTAAAGTTACTTTTTTTTAGAATTTCTTTCTTGCCTGTTTTTTTCTTTTTTGGGGGGAATTATTTTAGGGCAGGACCAGCAGTTAGCATAATGGCTTTGCCTCTGGACTCTCATGTAGCCAACTATGGTTCGAGTCCCGGACCTGGTGGCTTAAACTCACGCCGGGCGCGTGTGTGTGTGTGCCCAAGATCCCGAGAGCACGGCTCTAGGGTAGATGGTGTTCCAGCCTCACGTCCATTTGCCGACCGTACAGCCAGAGGCAGGGTACTGCCCTTCGAAGCCTCATTGCCCTCTCTGTATAAGATGCATAATAGCTACTTCCTAGGGCGGTTCCAGTGCGTCCCTGATTTAGGGTACCA